TGCAAAGAAACACCCCCCGGGCAGCAACTGAGGCTGCAAAACCCTCACCCAGCGCCCCGCCAGCCCAGCTACGCAGAGTGCTTTTAGACCACTACTTTCCTTGCCATCCTCCGCCCCCCAAATTAATTATTAGGGATTTTTTCTTTGCATTTAATTCAAAAATGAATTTAAACTTTGCCTCAAATATTATTTTTCAACCTAATTGAAATATATAGTGTGTGTGCCCTTCTAATTGCTTTGAAGAAACTAATAAGAAGCTCCTTAAAGTGATGGAGGGCTAAAAGCTAGAGGGTTTTGATAAATTTAACATTGGCTTAACATTTCCACCGGGATTTGAAAACATCAGACTTGTAAGGATATTTGCTTGAGCTAAGTAATGCAATTTGTCCTTCTTCAAAGAGCTGCCGCTCTGCCCAGCTGCTTGTTGTGGGGGGGGGGTGTCCAGCCTCCCCGGCTGCTGGTGCCCAGCTCATTAAAATATGATTATCTCACTATCAACAGTATCCCAGTCATGATTTCAGCCAAAGAGCACAGCTGAGAACCGAGGTACCCAACCCCACGGGGGAACGGGCTGCCAGTGGCCAAAGCAGTGCCTGGATACAGCCCCTCTGGGTGGGCTCTAGAGTTGCCACTAACGGGTCCTTACTTGAGTAATTAATGTTATTTGATTTAAATGAAGCTGTCGGATGGTGCGTGCAACAGCTGGGAATGCTGAGCTGTGAAATTATGATCTTAAAGATCAGAAAAGTAAGGATTTAGGGCCAGAACGTCATTTTTGCAAAACAGCTTCTGGTGTGATTTGAAGCCCCTTGATGCAACTTCTAAACGTGCTCCCAGTTTGTTCCCTGAGCCCCTCGGGCCGCCCAGAACCGAGCTCACCCTGCAGCCCCCCCGGGCCAAGGGGACCCCGAGTGGGGTCGGTGCCGGGATTTGGGGTCGGAGCTCTGGAAAAGAGTTTTCATTGGGTGTTCCTGGGCCTCACGGGACAGTTCTGCTGGTTATTTGTTTGCCTTCAGGGGAGAGCAAGGACCAGCGAGAGGAGCAGGGTCCGAGGGGGGGGCTCCAGCCCCCGGCCTGTGCCGTGCTCCCCCGCTGCCGGGGACGGGGTGGGTGCGGGGGGGGCTCAGGCTGGCGGGGGGAGCGGGGCCGGCAGGACCCGTTTCGG